TGAAGCGTGGGAATGTATCTGGTTATTCCTGTCCTGTAACATTGCCTAATTAAAATGTAAGATTTAACTATGCATCCTGACGTTCTACGTGCCTTTTAATTGCTACCTTTTTCAGACCCACTTAACCACCCTTAAATAACTGAGCTCAAAGAAATGTTTCCCCATTTTGTATCAATAGAATGTAATTCATGTTTTGGCTGCCTGCATGCAACACTCTTTACTTGTCTATATTAAATGACTTACACCGGGTGTTCACCTGGTCTTGCGTTCTAAGTCTGAATTTCCTTGCAGTGTACACGGTGTTTAATAACCCTCCTCTTTTGAAATAACTGCCAAACTTCACTAGTTCACCAGATTCATCAAAATAAATGAGGAAGAGCAGCTGTCCGAATACAGATCCTTTAGGCCCACTGACCACATCACCTCTCCTCTGTTCTCTATCCATGAAACATTTAAAATATTTGTTATAATCATTCTTACATCCAAATATAGTATATTGCATGCACTATGACCTTTACTCTTCAAAGAACTATAAAAATACTGAATTAAGACTGATTGACATATAGACGGTCCTCTATCTCAATTCTAATTGTTTCCTTAACCTTATACACTTGTGACAAATATCTTTAATACTCACTGGGTATGTGGAGCTGAGATCCCCAGTCTGGTTTAGGCAGAGCACTTCTGACCAGACAGGAGAAGATGTTGGACTCCTGCTGGACTGGGATGTAGCTGCTGACACTGAGGAACCCCTGACTGTCTCTGTCCACTGTGGTTCTGGACAGTGAGGTCACATCATGTCCATCCCTGTCTGTCCAGATCACTGCAGGTGCAGGGAACCAGCCCTCTGACCTGCACAGCAGCTGGGTCTGACCTCCTCCAGGGGAGTGGAGAGACACTGAGGGCTGGGAGCCCAGGGCTGTGGATTCGTCCCAACACAGATGTTTAAGTTATTAAAAGTATGACACAACACAAGCCTCTTTCTGACCCTTTAAAGCAAGTCCCTTGAGTTTGGCTTTCAGCAATTGTGAGAAGAAAAATGTAACCAGCTGGGAAAAGGGCTATAAATGTCCTTTGTAACTGTATTGCAATCTTACACTTACTTTACTTATCATACACTTGCTCACACCTGAAGAAGGCTTCACACCTGAAACGTTGTTTTCTGTCTTCTCCTTTCAGCCTGGAATAAACCTATTACTCGTTCCTTTACACTTACTTTAAATGGTTAATGTTTTGTTGATTGATAATTGTTGCTGTTTGATCTAAACACTTCTCTGTCGAGGATGTAAAGAATGAACAGCTAATTAAGTGAAGCTAATTAACAGAATGACAAATGTAAAATTGTGTGTAATTGGAGCGTCCATTCTGCATTTTTGTCTGTGTGGGAGAGTAGGTGTTGATTTTTGTGAAACAACAGGACAGCTCTGTTGTTGGATGTGGTGCCACAATGGTAAGTATTGCTACCGCACAGTGCTGGGTTCAAATCCTGGAGTGCTATCTGTGTGGAGTTTGCATGTTCTTCCAATGTTTATATGGGTTTCTTCTGTTTGCTAAGGTTTCCTCCTGCAGTCTGAAGTCATTCTGGCTCATTCTAGATGTCATAAACATCTGGCAGAAAACCAAGACTGGAAATACAGAACACTGATGTTGGGATTGATGATCTGCAAAAGCTCTATAATATCCACTCACCTGTAACACGCACATTAATAACAGCTTCTTCATAATACGGTGAAGACACTACCATACACTTATAGGGTCCATCATCAGATGGAATCACAGCTCTCAGGTTTAAGGACACATTGCCTTCAGTGATATTCTGCAGGAAAAGGTCCACCCTCCCATTGTAGGACGAGTCTGTGCTCTGAGGGACATACATGTGGTTTTGGTACAAACACACATGATCATTGTAATCCTCTCGAAACCACCTGATCTCCAGGTTCACAGCGCTGATGCTGGGTGAGAGGGAACAGGGCAGGACAGCGTCTTCACCAGGGGACACCACAACAGGAGCAGCAGGACCAACAACCAGGAACCTCTCTGAAAGAGAAACGTCACAACTGGCTTGAGTTTCACAGGCAAAATCTTTGAGTCATTCTGTCCCTCTCTCACCCAGGCCAGCTCTGACCTCAGGCATTGAAGAGCTCTGACCTTGCAAACTGAGGATCTGATACTCTACAGTCAGAGTGGGGCATTAAGATAAAGCTCTTATTTCTCTGCTCTCTAGCTTCTCTAAATGTCCCAATATTATGGATACACTTTCACTGATTTAGGTTTGGCTTTTCTTGCAATATTGTACTAAAATGATTATCATAATTACTATAGTAAATGACCAGCATGTCTTTAGATTAAGGGAAGTAATCAAGAAGTCTGACTGAAATATTTTCGATATTAAAAAAATAAAGATTTACCTGAGGCTGAAGAGCGGAGGAACAGCAGCATCAGAAAGAGATGTTCTGATTGGTCACGCTTCATCTCTGAATGACAAAGACACTCTGATTGGTTCAGTGGAACATCCTGCTTGGTCAGGCTGTGTTACTGATAGTGGTTTAATTGGTCAGAAGTTGGCAAAACCTGCAAAGAGCTGAATTACAGTATGTTGAAATGACAAAACATTGAATAAAAATAGAGGTACTCATAAAGACATAGAATCACTCGAGGTCTTTGCAATCAAAATGGTATTGTATTACACTTTATTTCCTAATTTAAATACTGTAATAAAACAAATCTGTGAAATTCATCACATGTATCCGAAATAGCACCCCAGAGACAGAGGCTAAATTTTATTGCACAGTAGAGATCGGAAGGCTGGAAACAAAAGAAACTTTACAAAAGCTGAGTAAGTTGAAAGGATATGATTGTAATATACAGTTAAGACAGAGAACAAATAAAGAAACTGAACAGAGAGCACGATTTGGTGATATAATCATGCAGAAGAGCAGAAGAGGTCAGAAGAGGGTGAAGGTTTTGGAAGATCAACCTCTTTTACAATATATGAGACTAGTGATTGGGTGAACCTGCCGTTTCCTTGCAAATTATCAGATGAAAAACGGTTTGCTTTTAGAGGATATTACATAATCAGAAATATTTTCACTGCCAGGAATTCTAGCATTAGCCAATACAGAGTCCTAAAATGACTTTTCCTTAAACAGAGTGACCTCGCCATTCAGAATTAATCGCTTTATAGCGGCTCCTGTATTGTTACACGGGCAGCACTCTCGCGTGTTCCAGTTTGCGGCAAACCCGACACCTGCGCACTGATCGTCTTCGACCGCAGGTGTGTCTGTGGGACTGCCTTCTACTTACAATCTAACGACCACATTTATCCTCCCCGTCGTTGCGTAGGCAACCAAGACTGGAAATAAACAGCCTGCTGTTCCCGAGCTCTTTAAACGCGGTGTCTCTCACCTGATCCCTAGTACCAGTCAGCCTCAGTCTCGGCGCTCCGCTATTTCCAGCCCGGCTGGTGAAGCGCAGCTCTTCATGACGTCATGCAGGACATCCTTCCCCGCAAGCCCACTCCTCTCCTCGGCTATAACTTCTCTCTTTACTTTCACTCTCACTCGGCTGCCTGGACTATTTGGGGCGGATCGGGCGCCCCACAGTCACGCTGACTGACCAGTCCTGTTCCCCCGCCTAAACCCGGCCTCCGCATGCTCATGGTCCTGAGTCACTCGGAGCCTTTCCTCTCGACTGCCGCCATCTCAGTCACAATCCACCGCTAGACGCGAGTTCACCCTGCTGTCTGTACAGGGTCGCCGCAGGGCGGAGATCCCACAGGTTCCCCTAAATTTAAGCCTCTTCAGATCAGCTGCTCTTCCCGGGCTTCTCTACAGCAGCCTTCAGCTGTGAGTGATCGACAGAGGCGAAACCAGCGGGGTGAAAAAGTGCTGCAGAAGTTATTGACCGAGCGGCAGGTGACGCTGAAACCTGTGGGACTGGTTTTTGAAAAATTGAGCCGAAGAAAAGCAGCTTTATGAAAAACACACCGCGTACACACCCTCCGGGCCATGATGCCAATATGAGCAAATGGTATTTTACAACAAATGTCACTGAAGCCATGTTATATATATATTGTAACGCTTACGGCCGACAAGCAGTGTGTAAGAGCCGGCGTACCAGAGCGGGTGACGTCACCGCCCTTCCCTGTGATAGCAGGACCACAGCTACTGGGCTGTGGAGAGATCTCTCTTTGGCTCACGGGGCTAGGTCGCTGCAGAGAGACGCGGAAGTCCCGGGTTCGAGCCCCGGACGGTGCAGGGGCCGACCTAATGCGGCAAGGGCGCCCGCCTGAGCCCCCGTTGCGTTACAATATACACAGTATAAAGTAGTCGTATTGGTCTAGGGCGGCACATTGGCGCACGGGTGGGCATTGCTGCCCTAGGTCCAGTTCCTGGGGTGCTATCTGTGTGGGTTCATTGACTTCGACCCTAGTGTGTGTCCGCGTCTGAGGGTGTACAGCGACGGACGGGTGTCATGTTCAGTGCGCTCCTTGCCCGGATAGGCTCCGGCCCCCCCCACGACCCTGTTCAGGAATAAGCGGTTAGAAAACGAACGGATGGTATTTGACTTGTCTAAGACCGTTGTATTGCCATGAATAGCTATAATGGAGGTTGTCAGATGTTCCTTCTTTCTCAGCAGTTTTACTCTGGAAGAGTTTTAGACTCTGGAAGAGTGTGGACTACTACAGCGGGCTTTTCTTAACTTTTAACCTTTAAGTCCAAAATATTCGCTAAGTAGACATTGTCAAAGGTAACCTAAATTCGATTAGGAATTCAGAAGTGTTGTAATTCAAAACTGAATTTATGACTTTTTTTTTTGGACACGTCTATGAATCGCGGTTTCCAGGACCTCATTTTCTGCTTCATTTCACGGGTCGGCCAACAGAAGTACTTCAGATTTCACCGTGGCTGGAAACGGCATCGAAATCTCACGTCCAAAATGACATCTGTATCCCGTCGTTCAAAAGACGATGCCGTCCTACTGCGGCTACCTTAATCAATTAATTTATTTTATTACCGAGATTTAATAACCAGTCTGTGAAATTGAGACTGCAGTACCCAGTTGAGGAATATCGCTTTAACAAAGGTACTTAACACATTTCATTAACAGCGGTCTAAAACCCTGAAAAGTTTCTCAGGAATAAAAAACTAAATTCAAAACACAAAAGTAGTTTTATGTTAGTGGTACCAACCTTATAAAAATAATTTATTAACAAAATAATTATCGTATCAACATCATAACAAAATATTTATCATAAAACCAGACGGTCCTATTAGAAACATGAGGAATGGAGCACACTCATTATTCACGTCTCACGAGTCTGAACGTGCCCTATCCGTACCCAGCTAACTGCTAACTTGTCTGTTAAACTCTTTCGCAGAGGAAAAAACTAAATCGGCTCGCAGAATGAAAACTATTCCCTCCCAACCATGTACAAAATGCAAACCTGTTTTTTCAGCTCCAAGACCCAAGACCAATTCAGGGTGAGCCACAAACACCGCAGAAAAGCTGGCACCCAGGGCAGATTGAGACCTGAGCTGCTCCAATACAACAGGCCGAGTAGGACAGTGCTGCAGGAGAGCCAGCTGAAATTATTCACCCTGGTACTGGTCACAAGCTGCTTCTCAGGGCTCGTGGGCCGATAGAAAAGTGGAGACAACCTTGCCCTTCGATGCTGACCTTTCTTACCCAGGTCTTTAGTAAGAATTGGAGTAGCCTCATTCCACTGCCCTACTGACCAGATCTACCTGTTTATTAACATGTACAGTTGGCAAACCAGGGCAGAGCCTTTCATGGCTAGACATCTTCCAACCTGTCCCAATCCATCACCCCCACCCCCAGGAAACTGCCCTTGATGGTAGAGTCTCTCCATATTCATAAAGCTGTGATTCCATCGGTACTCCCACAAAGATGTCCATGAATTGTCTTCGTGAGTCAGTGACGTGTTTAATCTCCACAGCGGACAGGAGGCAGCAGCACAAGGTCTTTACAACGATCACGGGTCCTGAAGACAGGATAGATCTTCTCCCCCTGATTGAGGACCATGTCAGTGAACGTGAAGATGTGAACCCTGGACTCCACTGCGTAAAAGGAGACCTTCCTCTCCTCAATATCCACACACACACCCACTGTCCTGGGCTGCAGACTGAGGGGGAGACGGGTCACAGGGTCAGTGAGAGCAGAGAAACCAGAATAGCCGGAATACAGAGCCCAGTATCCCCCTTGGGGATCAAAGCTGAACCCCCCTTTCCTCTCTGCAGACTCTCTGCTCACTCCTATTGACCAGTCGTCATTCACCTCCACCTCCCAGTAGTGTCTCCCTGAGGAGAAGGCCTCCCTGCTCACGACACAGAGCCAGTAATTAAATCTCTGGGCGTTGTCAGAGAGATCCTGCTCCTTTCCCAGTCTCACTCTCTTGCCATCCTCGGACAGGGTGAGTGCAATATGAGCTGTACCAGGGTCCAGTGTCACATCAGCTGTGGGAATGAAATGTTAAATATGAGATTTTAACGTAAGTGCCATTTTACATGATGAATTAATTTCAAGAAGTAATTAGTCAAGAAGGCAAACTGCAGCCTGACCCCGAAGCCGACAAGACAGTATAATCCACTGATATGTCACACTGATTCTGTGTCGATCGCCAACTCATTCCACAGGAGGGTCTATCAGTGAAGAATCACACACACCCTGTACTGTGAAGAGGACTTCTGTATCACAGGTAAATACCCCACCCCATGCTAACCAACCTGAAACAGTGTAATAATATGGACACTGCAGTGTCCTTCTTACTGAAACACACTGTGGTGTCACTTACTGAACAGGGCCATGTGTGAAAACCAGCTGGGCAGAAGAGACACACCCCAGAACTATTACCCCTGCCCCAGGGAGAGGAGACCATAACGTTATTACCCCTGCCCCAGGGAGACACCCTTTATAGGAGAAATAAACAGCCGTCCCCTAGAAACCAAGACAAGCTTTGACATGTTTGAGCTGTTCTGAGTAACACTCCAGGGAGTTCTGGGGTTCGTGTGCCAAGACAACCCTGTCTGAGCAGGTCAGAATTACCCCCCTGTCCTGGGAGGAAGGCATAACTCGTAGCTAAAAACCCAACTGTCTCTTCAGTCTTGAGCTGAACGATGTCACAGTTTCTCGGCTTTAGTGAAGGGACCTGTCTGCTCTGACACTACCGAGGGCTTGAAATAGTCTTATTGAGGCAAAATACCCCAGATATTACCCCTGGCCTGGGAAACACCCTTTAACTCCAATTTAAGTGTTCCCTCCTACTATAATGGAGTATTTCATTCCCAAAGACAGATTCTTATGCAAAAAGTATTTTGCAAAACATTCAAGAAAGGGAGCCTTGATTGGTTGGACTCTACATTTGTAAGAAATGAATAGTGGAGAAAATGCTCATAAGCGTCAGTTGTGCTTTTCTGCACAGCCTGCCTACCTTGAGTAGGAATGTTCCCCCCGGCTCCTGTAAGAAGGAAGAAGAGGATCTTAAGAACATTCATCCATCGGTTTTCAAATCCTTTTATCAGATCAAAGGTTACAAACGAGTGGACATTCAGCGCATCTGGCCCTTTTGAAAGAGCGCAGGATCTACTTCAGTCATTTCTTGAGAGAAGTCAGGGTATTGGCATCAACAGCACAGCTGGACAGCTTGTTCCACACTCCCACCACCCTTTGTGTGAAGTACTGACACCAGTTCTCTAAGGATGCTATGACGTCTGTTGAGCAGAACATTCGTCTTAGACTCTGTCATGATTGAGTTCACATACCTGATATAAATGTCATCTTGCAACACTGCTTGCTGTAGGAGTTAGGTGGGGCAGCTTTTCTTCTCTAATATTCAGGCAAAGGCCCAGGGGGTAACCATACCCGTGCAAGAGGCTGTACCTTTCACAACATCAGCAGTGACCTCAGACGACATCTTTGTAGCAGTTACAAATGATCCGTTCAACGTCCCAGTCATCTTGGCAAACGTCCACGCCCCTAACTGAGGCAACAGCGGTTTTATCAACATTATTTTACTTCTTTGTCCTGTTTGGATTCTCAAGACCAAATCCTCTGGGAGATGTTCACTGCCTCTGAAGCTGTACATTTGCCCACTCCTCCTCTTGGTCCATCTCTGTCTCCTCCAGCCATCACATCCTCTCTGAACATTTCTGCTGTCTCCGATACATGGTTTTTCTTATATTCTTTTCAAGGCAGTACTCTTTGCTTTTAAATGTGCACCACACCTTCTACCAAACTGACTAGTTTCTTCTAGATGACAACTTACTTTTCTCAGTCACTCTTGCAACTTTCTTCCGCACGAACAGTGAAAAGCGAACCAGGCAGCACAAGCAGAAACTCAGATGCATTTAAAACTGAGAACAGGAGGCTCTTCTTTACACAAAGAGGGAGTTGTGGGAGTGTGGAACAAGCTGCCCAGCCATCTTCATGAAGCTAATAGCTTAGAAGCTTTTAAGAAGCAGTCAAATGATCGGATGAATTGAATTAAATACTAACTACCACACAGGCTCATTTGTAACCTTTATGTACATGTATTACAGTAGAGTACAGCAAAGTACAACACAGCTTAGTGTAACAAGTTAAGAATCAGTGCAGCAGAGCACATCGAACAACATACAGCTCAGCGAAAACAAAGGTTTATATTCAGTGAATTCAAGCTGCCTATGAGCTGTGCGTTTTCATTCGTGGTTCCTTTAATCTTACAGGAATCAATGAACAGGACTTACCCAGGTGTCTAAGAAGCACTAAGGTTTTACCTGCGAATAATGAAATGTGAATCAGACAAGTCAATGTCACAGAGATCAGTGGTAACCAAACTGATTTCATATTCTACCAAACGTAGCTATAATAATAATAGAATAACATCAATAAAAAACTGGGCACTATTTTAAAAAGACACTTCTTTTAATCACTGCGAAGAGTAGAAAAGCAAAATCCTGAAGGTACCTTTGTTCAAGTTACTGGTTTTAGTATTGGCCTACAACAGCACAAACCAATATTGTACAATGTGTTGCGCTACTGCAGAGCTACCATACAGACAATTCTGAATGCCCGCTCTACTGAATCACTTACATTTAGATTCCCACTGCGTCTTCTCCCCTGTAAGAAACAGAAAGAGTCAGTAACACGGATACAGACTCCTGCACTGATACAGGCGTTTAAAGTCACACTGATATAATATAGTTCAGAAACCCTCAGTGTCTCTCTTCTGTAAATAACAGAAATAGTCACTAAGACTTGTAGTTCTGAGCTTCTCCCTACTACTGTTGACAAATGTTACTCTGCATAATTAATTTTCTTATGTCATGCTGATTAAGGATAACTTTAGCATACCCGTTAAGGTACTTTATACATTTCTTGAATTTTGGCAGTGATGTTTTGTTTTATGTTCAATATACACCAAACACAAATAGACATTTTTACAATGCTAAAGCCCTCTTTTGTATCTGACATTTTCAATAGTAACAGGTTTCCAATAAAGCAACTTGCGAAGAGTAAAGTGATCACTTTTTTAAATATTGCGTTTCTTCAAAACTGTGACGAGAAGGGACTTCACTGAATACAAGCAGTTCACTGTTGTAAAAAACAAGAGAACGGTAAATTGTTCTTGGAGTCTTTCAGGGATCAAGGAAGTGACATTGTGAACTTCTAGAGCAGAGGAAAGGATGAGATGTTCATTGTTTGCCCAGAGATGTTCATGGAAGAATTCCTGAGGGGCTTCAAACTGGGACGTGTTCTGTATCTAAAACAATTGTTATGGGCCAGTACTGGTTCTGACTGATAGAAACACAGCCCACACTGTAAAACTCCCACTGCAACCCATTCTGAGAAGATGATCTCCTGACCTGATGTTTTGATGCCTGTTCTCAAGAGCAGGGTGTCCTGTGCTGATTGTGAACTGTCATACAGTGGTGTTTAAACCCCTCCTGACACAG